GCAAAGGCCCAGTCGGGGGCCTGAGCTGGGGCCGAGAGGACTCGGGGTGCTGGCTGGTCCCCCACTGCTGAGACCCATCTCAGAGGCCAGATCAACACTGCTCATTCATTTGGGTTTGAGGCTGTTTGTGGGTTGTCCACAGCTGTAGCCAGGCCTTGGGACCTTCAGACGTAGTCCCGGACCTCTAAAAGCACCCTGTCTGGGGTTCAGGTTAGGGGTGACAATAAATTACCCAAATACTATTTTTTTAAAGATTTTATTTATTTATTTTTTAGAGAGGGAAGGGAGGGAGAAAGAGAGAGAGAGAGAAACATCAATGTGTGGTTGCTGGGGGTCGTGGCCTGCAACCCAGGCATGTGCCTTGACTGGGAATCAAACCTGCGATGCTTTGGTTCACAGCCCGCGCTCAATCCACTGAGCTACGCCAGCCAGGGCCCCAAATACTGTGTTTAATAACATAACATATATTAAGTGACTGTTATGTGATAAATGCTCGATTAGTTGCATCTTCATTTTAGAGATAAGGAAATGGAGGCTCAGAGAGGGGAAGTGACTTGCCCAAGGCCACACAGCCTGGGAATAATGGTGTCGGGACTCAGCTTATCAGTAAGTGTAAGTCTGTGGAGTAACAAAAGCTGATGTAAGAGCCGAGGAACTCATTGAATTCTTATCGCATCCCTGCCATGACAGACATGCCTACCTTACGGATGAGGAAACTCAGGCGCCCAGGGTTGAACTCACATTAGGAAGTTCCCCAGACAGGAAGTGCAGCCCTGACTATAGCGGGTCCTGAAGACAGAACAGTCTTGAGGGTGGGGCCAGGAGGGCGGGGTCAGGGAAGCCCCTCGGGCTACAGACTGCACATGCTATCTGGCACTTCTGTGGGCTCACACACCGGAAAGGGGGCTTGGTGCCCTGTGACCCTCCCAACCCAGCCCTGAGCAGCAGGTACGCAGGACCCAGCAGGGCCTCTGCACCCCCTTTTCTTCTCTCCTAGGCTGAGAGGAGGGGAAGGGGAGGGCACATCCTCAGGTACAAAGGGGGTGCCTGCCTTGGAATAGCAGCCCCGAGGACTGTTCGATAGCTGGGTGCATAATTCATGGGCCTGTCCGCAGACATCAATTATGTAGGCCTCCCCTGGAGTTGTCAGGGGTTAGAAACTGGAGCAGGCTTCCCCACCAGCCTCAGGGGAAATGGGATCTCCCAGCTCTTAAAGGAACAGGCTCCCCAGGGACCTACTCCTTCTCTTGCAGGCTCCCTCCTGGCTGGAGTCAGAAGATGCAGCAGCAATCTTGGGGCTCAGCCCAAGGCCCTGGCTGGCTGCCCCGTGAGCTCAGACCCACTCTGGGCCTCGCTAGCCCTGAGCCAGTAGCTTTGTATGCAGAGTCTCCCCCCAACCCCAGCCTATGAGGGGCTCGCTATCGGTTTATCCTGGGTTGTCTCAACCTTGGTACTGTTGACATTTGGGGCTGGACCCTTCTTCCCTATGGGGCTGCCCTGTGTATTATAAAACATGTTAACAACATCCCTGGCCTCCACCCGCCAAGTTGTCCTTCCCCCAAGTTGTGGCAACCAAACACTTCTGCAGAATTTGCCAAAAGAACCGCTGGTAGAGCCCTCATTTTGCAAACAAGGAAACTAAGGCAAGGAAAGTTCCAATGCCCGAGGCCACCCAGCCAGTAAACGGCCGCGCTGGCTTCCAGGTCCGGGATCCACACTCCTAACCTCGACGCAGCGGTTCCCAACGTGCGCTGCCAAAGTGTTTTATTCCAACGATCACATATTTATTTTAATGAATATTTAATACGCACAGCCCTAGCAGGCAAAAGCAGCGGTTTATTGCTTAGGATGAGGCTCAAGTAAAACAAAGAAGGTGAGTGGATGTTGTCTGTTCATTCTGGGTTTTGTGGGCGGGGGGCGGGTTCCTACTCAGGAAAGAGCAGTGCAGGTAGCAAAAGAACACGCGCAGTATGATGTCAGCGCTGGGCCAAATGAAACAGTTTGTCCGGGCACGCGTACATTTGTGTTAAACACTCTACACCAAAGCAGAGAGATGAGAAGAGATTCTGATTATCTCGGGGGTGGAGGAGGACACAGGAAGCCTCACGTAACTGTGACGAGTTCTGTTTCTTAGCTTGGGTGGGGGGGGTGTGGCTTCACAGATGTCATTCGATTATGGTTCATAAACATCTATAAATTAGATCTACTAATTTTGTGCATATCAGATAGTTTATAAAGTGACTGCAGGATTTTCCTTGTTCAATGAGTGGAGACCAAGAATGTAAAACTCAAGCTTTTTTCTTTTTTTAAGACACCATTATAGCAAAAACATCAAGAAGTGGGTAAAGCAGCTGAGGTTGGGAAAGCTCTGTGTCGCGTGGTGCTCCCTGTCCTGTTCTGAGCTGGCCTAGAGAGACCCCAGGGCCCTCTCGCTGCCTGTGGAACCCCCAGTGCCTCACACATAGGGAATGATCAATACATAGTTGTAACCCTGACAACCGGATGCTGGTCCTGACCCTTGCACTTGTAGCTCGGTGAACTTGAGCAGAGGCAGCAAACAGCGGGAGTGCCTGCCGGTGTCACGCCCCGGGCTGGTGCCGCGTGCAGAGATAAGCCTAAGAACTGATCCTTGCCCACCCCACCCCCCGCAATGGGCAGTGATGGACACATGCATTACCCTGTGATGCGATGTATGTGGTGTGTATCCTGAGGTATGGCAAAATACTAGGGGAGCCCCAAGGATGGAGTGGCCAGACCCGCCTGGGGATGAGGTCAGGGTGGAAAGGACAGGCTGGGTTTTTTAAGGTGGTTTACAGTTCACTGGACAGACAGGAAGAACACAGGCGTGCAGAATTGACCAGCAGTCGTGAGTAGCTAGAAAACTGTGAAGCCTGGGCACCTGTGGGAGGTGAGGCCAAAGAGAGGGGTAGGAGGAGTCAAATGCAGAGGGACCTGATAGCCAGGAGTCCTGAGTGGGGATTCATTGTGGGGGATAGAAGCCCCTTTGCATGCAGGATTCAGCGGGCAGTTTCGGAACAAGAGCAGGAAGCAAAGACTCACCAGGCCGCCGGGAGGCTGGGTGGTCTGGGCGATGGGGTGGTGTGGGCTGAGATATTCCCCCAGGACCACAGCTGGCATTTGTCAGACCCTCGCTGTGTTCTGCTAGAAGCTGTCCTAAGTGCTCTGGGTGTGTTGATACATTTAATCTTCAAAGCAGCTCTCTGACATAGATACTGTTATTAGCCCACTTTGTAGATGAGGAACCTGAGGCTTTGAGAGGCTAACTAACTGGCTCAAAGGAAGGAAGTAGCGGAGCTGGGACTTGAACCTAAAGTGGCCTGACACCAGAGCCCAAGCTCTTAACAGCTACCCTCCGCATCCCCTCCCAAACCTCTCGGGTCCTCACCGCGTCTTCACCCTGCCCCTTCCCCTTGTTCTCCGGCTTCTCTCAAAGGGTCAGCTTCCCGTGATTTCTTCGTGGCTTCTCTGTCCCCTGCGACATGGGGCACACTTGCTTGGGGCTTGGGTTTCGCATCAAGCTGGTTGGAGCCTGGACTTCCTGTCCGACCTCTGGGCCAGTCAGTAGCAGCCAGGATCAAACCGTACAGGCTTGGTGACAGACCAGCCCCGCAGCAGGGACTGCCCAGGGGAGGGACAAGTCTGAGGACAGGACGGCAGACAGGGTTGGGGGGCAGCTGAGAGACACTTTTAGGGACTTCGATTTTGACCTGAAAGCAGGGGAATGATGTGAGGATGTGATTGGATTTGTAGTTTTGAAAAAGACCCTCAGAGCAATGTATTACATCTGCTTGCATTTCTGAATAAGCCGCCAAATAACACAGGCTCCATTCACGTCAGCAAACATCCAGTAAGCCCTTTTTGTGGGACAAACCCTCTTCTTTTTTTTTTAAGATTTTTATTTATTTATTTTTTTAGAGAGGGAAGGGAGGGAGAGAGAGAGAGAGAGAAACATCAATGTGCGGTTGCTGGGGGTCATGGCCTGCAACCCAGGCATGTCCCCTGACTGGGAATCGAACCTGCGACACTTTGGTTCACAGCCCGAGCTCAATCCACTGAGCTATGCCAGCCAGGGCTTCAAACCCTCTTCTTGACCCAGGGGCCTCAAAGGTAGTTAAGCCACGACCCTTTGCCTCCGTAAGTCCATGGTCCCAACTGGGAGTTCATAACGTGGGTCCGGGATGCCCACGCCTTTCCTGGGACTCGCCTGCCAGGTCACATGGGCATAGCAAAAGGGTCTATGACTTTCACCTGGTTTCTAGCACAGCACGAAGAGCTCATGCTCTGGGGTCAGACTGGCGGAGGTGAAAGCCCCGGCTCTGCCACTTCCTGGCTTCGGAACCCTAATTCCCACCCCCTACTCACTGGAGACGGAACGCAACACGCCACAGATAGAACCTTGGGGGTTTTGTAAGAATGAAATAAGGGGTCACGTGGAAAGTGCTGAACACAGTGCCTAGCATACCGTGAACACTCAGGGGAGGGTAACTGTCGCTACAGTCATCAGTATCGTGTCGCGACAGCAGTTCCCACCCCAAGGTCGTGAGGAACCGCAGGTCTAGCTCACGAGTCAGCAGACTATGGCCCACAAGTCATATTCGGTCCACTGCCTCTTTTTGTCAATGGTTTTACTGAAACACATCTACACACAGTCATTTGTGTATTAGCTAAGGCTGCTTTCGCGCTGCAGCTGCAACTTCGAAGTCTAGAATATTTACTATCTGGCCCTTCATAGAAAAAAATTGTCAACCTCTGGGCTCCGTGATGAGCTTTCATGACTTCAATTCTCTGAGCCAGTTTCCCCATCTGTACAATAAATGGGTTTGAACAAATCAGCTTTTTAGCTCCACCCTCCAGCCGCTCAGTGAATAGTGTGCTGGGAAGCGCTCCTGAATGCTGACGAGCCTCCTGCAGACTCGGGGTATTCGGGTGATCACCCCACGTCTGGTTGATGACTAAGTCTCGCTCTCTTCTCCTCACAGATCCTCGCCATCATTTCCATCATGTTCATCGTCCTCTCCACCATCGCCCTGTCACTCAACACGCTGCCCGAGCTCCAGAGCCTTGACGAGTTCGGCCAGACCACGGACAACCCCCAGCTGGCCCACGTGGAGGCCGTGTGCATTGCGTGGTTCACCATGGAGTACCTGCTGCGGTTCCTGTCCTCGCCCAAGAAATGGAAGTTCTTCAAGGGCCCGCTCAATGCCATCGACTTGCTGGCCATCCTGCCGTACTACGTCACCATCTTCCTCACCGAGTCCAACAAGAGCGTGCTGCAGTTCCAGAACGTGCGCCGCGTGGTCCAGATCTTCCGCATCATGCGCATCCTCCGCATCCTGAAGCTCGCACGCCACTCCACTGGCCTCCAGTCCCTGGGCTTCACCCTGCGGCGGAGCTACAACGAGTTGGGCTTGCTCATCCTCTTCCTCGCCATGGGCATCATGATCTTCTCCAGCCTCGTCTTCTTTGCGGAGAAGGATGAAGAGGACACCAAGTTCAAAAGCATCCCAGCCTCTTTCTGGTGGGCTACTATTACCATGACCACTGTTGGGTATGGAGACATCTACCCCAAGACTCTCCTGGGGAAAATCGTGGGGGGGCTCTGCTGCATTGCGGGGGTCCTGGTGATTGCTCTTCCCATCCCCATCATTGTCAACAACTTCTCTGAGTTCTACAAGGAGCAGAAGAGGCAGGAGAAAGCAATCAAGCGGAGAGAGGCTCTGGAGAGAGCCAAGAGGAATGGCAGCATTGTGTCCATGAACATGAAAGATGCTTTTGCCCGGAGCATCGAGATGATGGACATCGTGGTGGAGAAAAATGGAGAGAATATGGGTAAGAAGGAAAAAGTACAAGATAACCACTTGTCTCCCAACAAATGGAAATGGACAAAGAGGACACTCTCCGAAACCAGCTCAAGTAAGTCCTTTGAAACCAAGGAGCAGGGGTCCCCTGAAAAGGCCAGGTCATCCTCCAGTCCTCAGCATCTGAACGTCCAGCAGTTGGAAGACATGTACAATAAGATGGCCAAGGCCCAGAGCCAGCCCATCCTCAATACCAAGGAGCTGGCAACCCAGAGCAAACCAAAGGAAGAACTTGAGATGGAGAGTATCCCCAGCCCCGTGGCCCCTCTGCCCCCTCGCACGGAAGGGGTCATAGACATGAGAAGCATGTCGAGCATCGATAGCTTCATTAGCTGTGCCACAGACTTCCCAGAAGCCACCAGGTTCTCCCACAGCCCTCTGGCGTCGCTCCCCAGCAAGACGGGGGGTGGCATGGCCCCAGAGACGGGCTGGCGGGGAGCGCTGGGTGCCAGTGGTGGTAGGTTTGTTGAGGCCAACCCCACCCCCGAGGCCAGTCATCACTCTGCTTTCCTCATCGAGAGCCCCAAGAGTTCCATGAAGACCAACAACCCCTTGAAGCTCCGAGCACTTAAAGTCAACTTCCTGGAGGGTGAACCCGGTCCATTACTCCCCGTTCTGGGGATGTACCACGACCCTCTCAGGAACCGGGGGGGTGCTGCAGCTGCCGTCGCTGGACTGGAGTGTGCCACACTCTTGGACACATCTGTGCTGAGTCCAGAGTCCTCCGTCTACACCACAGCGAGTGCTAGGACACCCCCCCGGTCCCCCGAGAAACCCGCAGCAATAGCATTCAACTTTGAAGCAGGTGTCCACCAGTACATTGATGCAGACACAGATGACGAGGGACAGGTACTGTACAGTGTGGACTCCAGCCCTCCCAAAAGCCTCCACGGGAGCACCAGTCCCAAGTTCGGTGTCGGGACAAGATCAGAAAAGAACCACTTTGAAAGCTCCCCCTTAGCCACCTCCCCGAAGTTCTTGAGGCAGAACTGTATTTACTCTACGGAAACATTGACTGGAAAAGCCCCCGCTGGTCAGGAGAAGTGCAGGCTTGAGAACCACATCTCCCCCGAGGTCCGGGTGTTGCCAGGGGGAGGGGCGCATGGAAGCACGCGGGATCCGACCATCTGACCCACCCCACCCGGAGGACAGATTTGTGGCCGGGTCCAGCGAGGCGCACCGCTCAGCTCACCTGCCACAGAGCCTTTCTGCACGAACTCTGAAACGGAAAGGCTCTGCAAAGCCCCCAGAAAGAAGAAAGACTCTAGAGAAAGCTCCCTAAGACCTTGAGAGCCATGGTCGGTCCACCGGAACGCCGCTGGCCAAGCCATAGGACCTGGCGCCTCCTTGGGACACCTCCACTGCCCTCTCTGGGAGGCCACGTGAGCAGAGCTCTCAGCCACCACTACCACATTGTAGCCGTAACCAAGGCCGCCTGCTCCCCGTCCTTCTCTCACGGCTCTCCATCACCGCTGCAGAAGGCAAGCTCTCCGATCCCTCCTGGCCTCGGCTGGAGAAGGGTATTGGAACGCGTGGCTGGTATTGAAAAAGTGGGTTGACCCGTTTGCTCTGGGTGTTGCCTGGCCCCCTCTGGGAACTCCTGTCCATCACCTCCTGGATGGACCCCACTGTCAGAAGGCTCCGGGGGAAGGCTTGTGTCATGGAGAAATCTCTGCACTGTAAGCCAGGATCCCAGTGCAAAACCCTTACTCAAACGGCTTCATGGACTTCACTATTTCGTAGTACCTGAGATTTTATTTTGAGATATCATCGGGGTGAGTTGTACCACTTGTACTCAATTCTAATTGCCCCCTGGCAATCTGGGAAGGGTTCAGAAGGCGGGCACTCAGCCAACAGTGTGAATGCTGAGCATCGCTTTAGGGTTATTGAGCGAATACATTTTCTGTACATCACTGGTGTAAACTCAAAAGATATGCAAGTGTCAAATATGCAAAAGAAATAGCTTATTCAAAAAGACTGTATGTTCCTGAAGAACAGAATAAGATCTGACTTTTTTTACCTACCAAAACGAAAGGAGAAAAAAATCCCCAATTGAAATGCCCCGTTCAGACTTTTGAATACTTCCTGCTGCGGCAGGGAAAGCATCTACTATAATAGAAATCCTTTTTTTTTGTTTCCTGTGGTATTCAAGTTTTTAAAAAAAGTTAAAATAAAAAAGCACTTTATGTTTTTCAAAAATAGGTTCTACCAGGGACAGTGTCACCATCTTGCACTTTAAAAGAAGCACTATTTCCCGTGGGCTACTTTCGGGGACTGTGTTTGAGTTGTTGCCACAATCCATGCCTGGGTCCAGCCACAGTGGGTGATATTGTGCTGGTATTGTCGTCTGCCAGGTCACAGCCTGCGGGCGCCTTCCCTGCCCCTCCGAAGCATCCCCTAAGTCCCCTTGCAAGGAAGGGTCCGTGGCCTATGAGGAGGGCCTCTCATAAGGTCACGTGTACAGGACAGGCACATCTCAAAAGAAGACGGTAGGCGGTGGGGCACTGGGTGTTGTACTCCGTTCTCTTTCTTGTCAACCAGCCGTCGGTGTGTTTTCAGTGTCACTGTCTGTATCAATAAGCTCAGCTCTCCTTTCCGCAGCCATCAATGCAGCCAGTACAGACAAAAGCAATAAGTATCTGTGCGTTATCGTGAGCGGTTCTAGTGTACCTCCTGGTGTCGGTGTTCCTGCCCTAGTTTGATGCACTGGCATCGGTCTGCTTGCGTTCAGTCTGACCGCATGGTGTTGCTGGCTGTTCCTCGGTTCAGTGACATTGGGTTGAGCCACCGGTTAGCATGATGCCAGGCCGTTGGCCCGTCTGTCAGTAAGGATACTATGTTATTGATCTGCCTGTTTTTAGTACCATGGACTGATGCTGTTCTCCTAACACAGTTTTAAGAGATGGCGTCCCAAGGACAGCAGTGTATATCTGTCAGTCCTCAACGGTGACAGGTGTATGTCTTCCTGATGGAACAAGACATGGTGTTGTTCCGCTGTCCTTCATACAATGTTATTGGTTCACCCCTTAGTGCAATGGCGTGACCCACCTGTTCAGTAGACCAGTGTCACAGAGTCATTCTGCCCGCCCTCCGTACAGCGGCAAGAGGCTGGCCGCCTGTCTCAGGTGTGGTGACGTGGGGTCATTCCATCGCCCTTAAAAATGTGTGTCCTCTGCTTCTCGGCATCTCCCAGGACGACGGATCCCTCCGAGAGGGGACAGTCCTGTTCTGTGCTTTGTTAGCAAAGACAATGCGTGCTGAAGTATCTTGACACTTCCAAAGTACCTTCGGAGTACTTGAAAGCAAATGCAAAGGGACTTAAGGGACAGAGAGAGAATGAGGTCGTGCTGTGCTAGTGACACACCAGAGAGAGGCAGCAGCAGCGCCCCCTGGGGGCTCGGTGGGGGGTGGGGGCGGGGTGGGGGGAGGGCTACCGAGGAATGGCCACAGGCCAGTCCTCCTTGGGTCATCTCTTCTTTGTTTTCATCGCCGTGTATGTCTGCCATCAGCACAAATGAGAAAATTCAGGGAAAACAAACGCTTTTTGATAAAAGTAAATAGTTGTGATTTCTGATTCAGATATTTTTAGAGCTGATGCTATCTGTAAAAATTAATAATATAGTCTATTTTACATATCAGGAAAGTGAACATGTTTAAATATAGCCATATATACTAAGAAGGAACTTACCACCCCTTCTTCAAATTGAGGCATTTCGTTTGTTGGTTGAAGCAGACCAGAAGTGTACAGATTGGAAATTCTCTCTCTTTTTTTGTTTTAAACTAATAACCAATTGGTGCAACTCTCCTTGTAACCAAAGGCCCTTTCTGCCTTGTGTGGTCACACAGGGCCTGGCCCTCCCTTCCTCATGCATTTTGTCTGACCTTAAAGTAGCATTTTATTGAGTCACTTTTGAAGGACGAATTCAGAAGTATCATGAAGAACCTACCTTTCAGGCTGAAGAGCCAGAGTCCTATAGAGTTCTTATAGAAACAGAATAATCGAAACTCAGCATATACTATGCTTAGAAAGTATTTATTGTGTTCCGTTTGGATTTTTTTTTCCTTTTACTTGTGTACGTCTTGTGGGAATATAGCTTTTACCCTGTGCCCGATGAAAATAGAGTACTGCGAGTTTATCCAGGCCCCCACCTGCCAAAAAGGAACGTACCGAGGTTTTCAATACGTGCACATCCTACCCGCACCTGTGTCCACGCACTAGGAAACCTGCCGAGGAGTCTCCATGAGAAGCTGACCTTGGTCAACAGACACTGATGGAGGAGAGGACAGTAATGGTTTGGAAGCAGGTACTGCTTTACCTTGGTGGTCCATGTCCCACCCATTTCTGAACCAATAAAAGTGGGGGAGGGGGAAGCAAGTCAACCCAAAGAAACAAAACTAGGGGCTGGAGGCGGATGGATGCCTGGTCCCTCTGGCGAGCTCGGTGAAACTCGTCCAGAACCCAGCTGAACTGGAGTCCCCCCAGCTTCCACCATTATCAGAAAGGGCTAGGGACCAGGTAGCTATGTGTCCCAACCACGCAGAGGGGGGACAGTCTGCGGCCGGCGGAGAAAGGCGAGCAAGCTCTGGAGGAGCCCTTTGGTTCGCCTTTTTCTCTCTGGGGAAGGAAAAACGGCAACAGGATGTCGCTGCAGTAGATTTCTCGGTGCCTTCTTTAGGAATTTTATCTTAAGCACACTGAATGGGGGGAGGAAAAAGAGGAGAGAACCTTCGTTCCCGTGAAAACCCCTTTCTCTAAAAGCACTGGGGATCAAGAAGGAAGAATTAGGCGTGGAAACAGCAAAACCCCGAGGAGGCCATTTCCTTTCAACGCGCCCGGCTCGCCCCTGAGACTTGCTGGCTGTGCAGACTTTGTCGGACTGACCCCACCCTCTCTTCCGCCGTGTCTTAGTCACCGTAGCCTCGTTTCTGCCCTTTCTCCTAATAAGATCCACCTTTCTAAGGAGAAAACAAACACACACACACAACAAGATTCTCCTCTGTAAAGCTGTAATGTATTGTTGACTTTTGTAAACTATTGTATATTTCTGTTTCCTCCAAGTCACGGCTGGAGTGTCCGACCCATGGGCAAAGGCAAATTTAAAGTCCACCACGGACAAGGGTCTCTACAGCCAGGTCGCTAGCTCTCTCCTGTCCTGATATCTCTGCCAGCTGGTCCGAGGCTTCAGCCGCCAATCAAGGAACTTCGAATCACAGGCGAGCGTGGTGAGCCGCCTCTGAGATTCTTTGGAAAGGACTGCTTCTGCGGCTGCGAAGCTGATAGGAGGGAGGAAGGAGGCTCCACCGAGTCCCCGGCAGGACGGAGCACAGCCTCCAGCCCTGAGCTGAGCTTCCCCCGCCTCTCACTGCTCACAGGACAGCATCCGGCTGCTCTCAAGGGACCCAAGCCAGCCCCGGGACTACCCCCCGCCCCGCCCCCACCAAATCAGAGTTACCTCTGCAGTTTCCGTTGCCATTTTTCTGGCTCTAGAAGTATCCGATGTACGACTACATCCCAGGTTGTCCACATATCTCAGAGTAGTCTATTTTTCTGTTCAGAGAAATATAAAGTGTATTTTTAGCAAATTTATAATAGGGCCATTGAGTCGACTTTCTTTTGTAATATAGAGTAACACTTTAGGAGGTTCGTCGTCGGTCGTTATCGTCGCTGATGATCTTCTGGTCTCTTTCATTCATGTGCACTGTCCCGTGGGCTGCTTCTTTTCTTTGCTCCCTCTTGAGTCTGACTTTCTGGGAGCTGGAAAGACGCCAGGGTGTGACGTCCTCAGCAGACATCTCCCGCCCGGAGGCCTAGAGACTGTCGACACGGTCACCTTCTCCGTTCTGTCTCTTGTGTTTCTCGTCATCGTTCCCAAGAGTCCGGACACACGTGCAGGATCGAGAGCAGGCGACCCTCAGAATCAGGATGGGACGTGGGCTTGGTTTGGCTCATTCCCACACACGTCTGGGAACCTGAGGGGACTGAGTTTTCTTCTCCCCCCTCCAAATTTCGGACCCAAAAATCCCATGCAATCAAACTGCCCACTGGGCCTCGTTTCTGAGCTCCAGGACACCCCCAGGCCCCTCCTGGCTGGCCCGTTGCCATGTCCAGCGCCCTGCTCCCCGTGACAGCAACTGAATTGGAAGGACAGAGCATGGTCTGGTTCTTGAGAACAAGCTGGGCTTCAGATCACATCAGCTTTCTCTCAGTTCTTCACTGAAATCCTTTGCCAGCAGCCTCCCCAAAAACCAGTGGCCAGGCAGGCTTGCAGCCAGACCCCGAGAAGACACGTCCCCAGATTCTGCCATCTCATCTCCCCCTCCTTCTGCAGCTGCTGGCTTCCTAGAGCCGGAGCTCCGTCTCCCTGGCAGGGGCTGCCTCCGCCCTCCTCGGCCTCAGGGGGTCTCTGGTCTGTCCTGACCGTTCATCCCACCAGGCGGTTTCCCCCCTGGGGGCGGGCAGAGAACACCTCATGAAGCAGGATCGCCAGCAAAAAAAGCGATTTTTCCCTCCATCAGCTCATGCAGGAAGATGAAGAAAGCTAAGACAATCTCCAATTCGCATTCACTTCAGTTTTCGTATCCCACCCGCCTCTCTCCCCACTTCAGGGCTCTCGCCTCTGCCCCGAATCAGAGACCGGAGCCACATCCTGACTCCTAGATGGCCGTGAACCGCTCCCTGCCCCGTCCCGCGGAAACGTCCCCAAGAGGAAACTAATCCAAGTACCAGTCTATTATTCTGGACTGAAACCCCAATCGAAGTTTTCCCAGCCCCCAAATTCCTGGTTATCTGATTCGAACCAGAGCCAAACAAAACAGACCAGATTTGTTCAAACTTCTGCACAAGAACATTAAAAAAAAACATTGCATTTCCCAGTAGGTTGCTGGGTTTGGAGCCCAGATAAACCAACGCCCCGCCTGTGGCTGCCTGCAGCTAGGAAGAGGCTGCTTACTTCGGGTGCCCAGTCTCTGTCCCTGAGACTGTCTCCCCCTGGCATTTCTCGGGAACGCCCCACATTCCAACGGGAAGAAACGGATTGAGAAGAGCCTCTGTTACTGGAGCGGCCCCTCAACTTCACCTCGAACCCTCCAGGCCTTCCCGCAAAGATCCTGAAAAGATCAGAGGTGGAGGGAGTGGGGCGGCTCGCCCGAGGAAGAAGTCACCCACCTGTCAGAGGGGCTGCAGGCGGGTCTCTGAAAGTTTCTCTTGCCTGAGAGGAGCAGGGCCAGGGCGGTCGGCTTCAGCTCAAAGGGAGAAAGCACTTTTAATAGGAGGGGCCGCGCCACCCTGGAGCTCGATGCTGTGCTGGGTAATGGTCTCCCTGATACCGCAGGTGTTGAAAGAGAGGCTAGATGGTATACAAAGTGGAGATGGCAGAGGGACCCTCTCGTTGCATAGCAACGGGACGGAACCACCGGGGAAATTCTCTCTCTCCCTCTCTTTGTTTCCTGGTGTGTGTGTGTGTGTGTGTGTGTGTGTGTGTGTGTGTGTGTGGAACATCTGGGCATAGACTGAAGCCACTGAGGCAAAGGCAGGGAGTGCTGTTAGCAGGAGCTCAAATGGTAGGATTTGCAGCTTTCCGAGGGGGTTCTAGGTTGGGAATGTGGTGCAGGAGACCCTGTTCCCTCCTGTTCCACATCTTGGACAATGTCAGTGACCCCGTCGATTGCCCGTCCCACCCATTCTCAGTGCCCTGGCAGGAACCACGTGGGGTGGGATGACGCTAATGCTACCCTCCCCCAAGGCCAACCACAAAGCAGCCCCGTCTCTGGCTGGCTGTCTCGAGGTGCTTCAGCCCTTCTGCCCAGCCCCTGTGCCCTCACAGACCTGTGGATTTCTGTACAAAAGACAATGATCTTTTACCCACTAACCAGCTGCCTAAGGAGCAAACTGCCCAGGCAATAGCGAATGGCACCATTTTAAAAGGGCTTTCCCCACCCCCTGGCAAATAAAACAAGAAATCCCACTCAAATCCTTTGAAAGTCCCCACCCAAGGAAGTTAAATCCAGGAGGGCCAAAAGAGAGGGGCAGCCGGAACCCAGTTTCACAGCAAAACAAGGCTTCGTCTACCACTGGGGACCCAAACGCCTTCTCCCGCCTCTGTAGCCCCTGCACCAGGTCTGGGTACCGCATCCTTCAAGGAGAGCATTTGACAAAGAGGGTTTGAAGTCCCTCTTCGTGTGTACAGGGTGGGTTGGAGGAGGCGGTCCCCGGCCGCCCTGTCACGAGGAAAGGCAGGCTGTGTTTGAAAGGATAGACTGGGCAGCTGCCGGTTTCCAGGCTCCCCCCGTGGAGGCGCTTTCCTGCAAGCACAGCTCAGGTTAGTGGCTGCGATGGTATGACAATCCTGAAAAATGACGTCAGCTCCCAATTCTGGCCCGTTCGGATGCTCTCCAGGGTCA